TGATATGGGGTTCATGGGATGCCCTAAGTTTGACCAAAGAAAGAAAGGAAAAAGGGAAATAACAACAAACAAAAGGTTTTGGTTTACACACTCTTATTTTCTGCCATAGGCTAAAAATAAGTGTAGGAAAACATTATTTTGAAAGGAATTAAATGACAAGGAACTTTGGATGTTTAGGGAAGGAATGGGGGGGTGTTGGTTCGGCCTAGGTGGGGTGTAGGACAGCCCTGGTGTTGGTTTGGGCTTTAGGGAAGGGCGAAGGAGTGGATTCAACCCTAATAACGTCACCACACTTTGGATTTATTCCGCTGATCCGTCTTTCCTTTTCTGGGCTAAGGAAAGTCTCCATTGATGCTCCCGGATATCTAACAGTATCACTGACAAATATAGACAACAATTGTTTGTAAATCGTACAAATAGTTGTTGGCTGTGTGTGTGATATGTTTGATATACAAAAAAAAGTAGAACGGGCATTTGAAAGGTCCGTAGAGGCAGGGAATACTTACTCTAAGAATGAGTTGCTTCAAACACTGTTATGTTTATACTTCCTCCGTCTCAAATTAATCGTCATAGGTAGTTTATATAGTTTGTCCTAAAATAATTAACTTACTTACCTAATAAAATAAAGTATATGTGGTCTGCATTAATTTTTTTTCTCACATTTATACAATTATACATGCAAAAAATAATGTAAAAGTAGTAAACAAATTTCTCGTGTACACTAATTAAGACGGCTTGAATGGTTATTTACATTGAATTAATTGAATGCTTCCACCGATTTCTAGTGAGAAGAGATTTCTTGAATGCATAATTAAGATGTTGTAGGTATTCACAAGGGACAAACAAGATGCTACAATTATATGCTAAAACAGTTACAAATAACAAATCTATTTGTTTGTAAAAAATAATGCTTATAAAAGAAAAAAAGCCTAAACTTCTAAAGTAGAAGTAAAAACATTGAAAATCTACGAAAATAAGAGTTTCATATTTTTATTTTTCAAAATAAAAATTAAAATGCATTTACATTATCAATCATGACCATGTATATTACATAAAATCCACATATACAGTGTCACATTACCACAATGCGACCTCCTATTTAGGGAATAAAAGCATGAAACTTCTATTTTGGTATTTTCTCTCTGTTTTAGCCCTATTTTGAGTGATTTCTTTGCTAATAACAATTGATCACTATATGAAACTACCAATTACATGTAACTAACACTCTCTACCCCCTAAATTTACCATCTCATTTCAAAAAACATGCAAAATCATATCTTCTGTAAAAGTATTTTGCTTACAAATTACGGAGTAATATATAAATAAAAGTACAAATTACTCCGTACATATTTTAAAAATTATATAAAAAATTTACATGACAAAACGCGTACGTGACAAAAATGAAGCATTATTTTATTAAATGATCAACAAAAATATATAAACAAGGAAAAAAGATTAAAATAGAAGAAAAACAAAGAAAATATACTAAAATAGGAGTTTCGTATTTTTATTCTCAAAATAAAAGTTAAAATACATATACAATGCCAATCACACACACACACACACATATATATAACAAAAAAATCTTATTTTTTAACAAAAAAATTCTTATCACAATGTAACAAAAAAATTCTGAAATCTTTATATACAATGCCACATTATCACAATGTAAATTCTTATTTTAGAATAAAAATATAAAACTATTACTTTAATATTTTTTCTATCTTTTATTTACGTTTTATTATTATTTATGATAATTCGTGTATATATACAAACAAAAGTTAAAGGAGGACTTGTGATTCTCTTTTGGTTGAGATCGAGGTACACTTATTATTTCAGGTTGACTACCACCGACTTTCCAACTACTGGGCGAATCACCCTAGCGTACAAAAAGCTCTCCACGTACGGAAGGTACTATGTGCTTTTATATCTAAGTTTAGCTGTTTAGGGTCTTTCAAGTTGGATCTAAGTTGTACATCAGTTCTGTTGGGAAAATCACCTCAATTTTTTAGTGGAAGCAATTAATAATTTTCTCGTCTTTGTGTTGTCAAAATGGGCAAAATTATATGATCGATCAAGAATAGCAAACACAACAACAAGCAATCAATCAAGCGATAAACGAACACTAAAATTTAACGTGGAAATCCCAAATCGGGGAAAAAACCATGAAGTCTTCCACTAATGTCCAAGAAAAATCAGTGGGTACACCAAGAATCCTCTCTAAATTAATTAGATGTATACACAATCATCAAGCAACAACTTGGAACACCAAACAATAATAATCTTTGCTTAAAAGTGAGAAATCCACAATAAAATTGCTGCAGTAAACAGAGGCGATTTTACCGACATCGAGAGGTCAAAAAAACAATAAATCTCACCGTTGGATATGAAAAACATGATGTCAGGAACAACATACTAAAATTTCATCCTGAGCGGAGCTCGTTTGGTCGTCGATCGAAGCACAAAACTAGGCTGCACCCCTCTTTTTCTCCCTTTTTCCTTCTCTCGATTTTACTCTATTTTCTTAGACCTGTGCAAATAAGGGTCGGCCCGTTCGGCCTGCCCAGCCCGCCCTTTAAAAAGGGCGGATATGGACAACCTTTAATACCTAAATGGGCGGGCCGGCCCAAGCCTGAATTGTATATGAGCGGATCTGGAAGTTACTTTTAGCCCATCTGGGCCAACAGGCCCGCTCATATTCATCAATTATATTTACTTTATAATTAATTACCTAGCCAATATAAATTTTAAAGTTTTCTATTATTCATGTATAATAGTTTAATTCACTCACCTCTTTTAAACAAAAATCGATACTCTTTTAATGAATCAGTATGATGAGTTTATTAATTATGCAACAATATCTCTATTATGATTTCTATATAAATGTGGTGACTGGTTATTTTATTTTAAATATTAAAAAAGAGTTTAATGTTTTTTTTAAATTTTTTGTACAAAAAAAATTTCTTGATGTTTTATCCGGGTCGGGTAGCCCGGTGGGCAGTCCGACCCGCAAAGATGGGCGGGTATGGGTAAAGAATTTAGCCCATCAAATCTGAGCCGGGCCAGGCCCGCCCATGTAAATGGGCTAAAAGTTTATATCAAGCCCAGCCCGAATCCTTATTTGCACAGATCTAATTTTTTCTCTCTGTTTTTGCTCTGCTGTGCGGCTTTCTATCCGCGTGAATAAAGTGGCATCCCCACTTTGACCATTCCCTCTCTTTTTTATAATAATAATAATAATAATAATAATAATAATAATAATAATAATAATAATAATAATAATAATAATAATAATAATAATAATAATAAATATTATTATTATTATATTACTCCACTTCTAAACAAATTACATTTTTAACACTAAGAGGCTGTTTGTTTCAGCCTCTTAATGGTTCAGATGTCTGAATGATTCAGCACTTAATAGTTCAGACTGTTTGTTTCAGCCTCTTAATGGTTCAGATGTCTGAATGGTTAAGAGATTTGCCTCTGAATGGTTAAGTATTATATAGAGTCTGAATGGTTAAGACCTCTTATCTGAATTGATCAGACATTTGCCTCTGAATAGTTAAGCAATATACTAGCTCTTAATGGTTCAGACCTCTTACTGGTTCAGCACTTAATGGTTCAGACCTCTTACTGGTTCAGCACTTACCGATTCAGAAGTTGCCAAACAGCCCCTAAATGTATTATTTAGGAACTCTTTCCTCCATGTAGGAGGGATACCCCAACAAATCTCCCCCTCACTCCTACATTGAGGGTAAAACATAATGGTGATAAATATCAAACAAACCTTTCACAACCAACTGCGCCAAGTCCGTAGGTTATGAGCAACACTATCTTCTCTTCAACTTGAACACCCGATTACTCTTGGGTGCTCACTTGCTTCCATGCAACTTTACCAGGAAATAACCACGTCCATCAAGCAAGGATGTAACTCCATCTCGCTTGGCTTGAACCCACTCTCGTCGGTGCACCTTCTTCACTTCTTCCTGATAGCAATCTCTCTCAAATATACCGATTTCAGGAACACTAGGCGGCGGAATTCCATGCTCGAAATGAGGTGGCTCAAGTACACCACCATCACGAGCAACATCATCACCACAACATTGCTCTTCATCTTCTCCCCCATGATCTGAATGTATGGTAAAAAAGGAATATCACCTTCAGGGAGGATATCTGACAACTCTCAATCGTGTGATCAAGCCTCTTGTGCGATGTCTCCGTGGAGGGCGCAGTATTCTGATCTCCTCTGCACATTTTTGCTTGCATCACGTAAATCATGTTCTCTTTCTTACCTCGGGCCACAATCAAAGAACCTTTGGTGAGCTTCCACTTTCCTTCACCAAGGCGGTTAACATAACCATCTCCGTCAAGTCCTCTAGCTGAAATGAGGTTGAACTGAAACTCTGGAACACGTCTGACATCTCTGAGGGTTAACCTGCAACCCGTGTTAGTCTTCAAACAAACAGTGCCCATCCCAATAATCTTAGGTGATTTGTCACCCTTTCCCATCTTTACATAGCCAAAATCACCGCTAGTGTATGATGAGAAGAACTCCCAAAGAGGTATGAGATGACACGAGGCACCCGAATCTATAATCCAAGTGCAATCCTGAAAATTAAAGCAACATCAGAGTTAGTGTCATCGCACACAAAGAATAAATCATCTGCATCTGCTAGGGCTGCTGAGTCTTTCTCCTCTTTCTTCTCAGAATTCTGACCCCTTTCCTCTTTCTGCTGGGCTTTATGACCCGGTTTATCACAATATAAGCATTTCACTTCGCTTCTTGATTTGGATCTCCCCCTAGATTCAAAGTCCCTATGTTTGTGTCTTCCACGACCCTCTACCTCAGCAACATGAGCCTGATCTGAATAGCTGGAGGAACTCAGATCTCTTCTCCTAGCTTCTTCGTTCAGCATACTCGACTTCACAACATCCATTGTGAGCTAACCCTTTGGAGCAGAATTGCTAAGTGATACAACCAAGGTCTCTCAGCTTTCTGGCAACAAGCTGAAGAGCAACAACGCCTGCAATTCATCATCTAAACCCAATTTCATTGAAGACAATTGGTTAATCAATCCCTGAAAATCATTCAAATGCTCTACCACACTATGCCCATCCCTGTAATCAAGTTTCACAAGTCTTCTCATAATAGAGGCTTTATTCAAGGCATTTTCTCTCTCATACATGCATTTGAGTTTCTCCCACACTTCATAGGCGTTGTTATCATTAGCAACATGCTGAAACACACTATCATCAATAAATTGCCTAATCATTCCCACAGTTTTCCGATTAAGCAATTTCCAAGTACCTTCTTGTTTACCGCTTGGCATCTCCTTATTCAAGATCGGTTCATGCAATTCCTTAATATATAAAATATCTTCCATCATGGATTTCCAACTTTGATAATTGGAGGAGTTTAATTTAATCATTCCCCCAAAAATAGTTTTATCCTCCATTTTAACAACACAAGAAAATCACCCAAAAATATCAACTCAAGCTCCTATACCAATTGTTGGAAAAATCACCTCAATTTTCTAGTGGAAGCAATTAATAATTTTCCCGTCGTTGTGTTGTCAAAATGGGCAAAATCATATGATCGATCAAGAATAGCAAACACAACAACAAGCAATCAATCAAGCGATAAACGAACACCAAGATTTAACGTGGAAACCCCAAATTGGGAAAAAAACCACGAAGCCTTTCACAAATCTCCAAGAAAAATCAGTGGGTACACTAAGAATCCTCTCTAAATCAATTAGAGGTATACACAATTTTATTGGAGGAGTTCAATTTGATCGAGGCGATTTTACCGATAGAGGCGATTTTACAGATGTATACACAATCATCAAGCAACAACTTGGAACACCAAACAATAATAATTTTCACTTAAAAGTGAGAAATCTACAATAAAAATGCAGCAGTAAACAGAGGTGATTTTACCGACATCGAGAGGTCAAAACAACAATCCCACCGTTGGATATGAAGGAGAGGATGTCAGGAACAACATACTAAAATTTCATTCCCATCGGAGCTCGTTTGGTCATCGATCGGAGCACAAAACTAGGCTGCACCCCTCTTTTTCTCCCTTCTTTCTTCTCTTCTTTTTCCTCCCTGTTTTGCTCTGCTGTGCGGCTTTTTGTCCGTGTGAAGTAGCCAAAAGGCTTTTGCCTTTACAATAAAGTGGCATCCACACTTTGCCCATACCCTCTCTTTTTTATAATAATAATAATAATAATAATAATAATAATAATAATAATAATAATAATAATAATAATTATTATTATTATTATTATTATTATTATCATTATCATTATTATTATATTACTCCACCTCTAAACAAATTACATTTTTAATACTAAATGTATTGTTTAGGAACTCCTTCATCCATGTAGGAGGGATACCCCAACAAGTTCATTTCGCATCATACATTTCTTGTTTTGGATCAAATTTTAAACAATGTTAGAGATACTTTATGGAATGTACTCTAAAGAGTACACTAAAGCAATACGCTAGAATTTTGGTCGTTCACATAGACACAATAAGTTATTGCGATAAAAAAAATTGTACCAATTTGTGTCTGTGTGAACCATCACCCTAGCATAAAATGAAGGTACACACCTGCGATGTACGATTTCAGGTACAACTTTTGGGGTAAAAATAATTTATTTCTCAAATTTTTGAATTCTAAATAGAAATATGTCATGAAACAAAAGTGTACTACTCTCTCCGTTCCTTTAAATCCTTCCAGTTTTGACTTTGGACAAAAATAAGGAAAGTGTAATTTTGGTTGACTTTCCAATTTTGCCCTTGATGTGATGAGTAAAAGTAAGATGTGATAGTTTGGTTATTAGAGAAAAAGTATGATGTGATAGGTAATGTATGAAAAAGTAATGGTAAAAGTAGTTTTT